CCAGAAAATAGGGTTTGATAGGCTTCCATGTAATTTCTCTCTTTGGCTGCATTCAATTTCAAGTTGATCGTTTGAAACGGAATCATTTCTCCATCCACACTGAGTTTGACAGAACTGGCATCGTTGAGCTTGAAATTGTAGGGATTTTTGGTATAACTGCCATTGAATGCATCTGAATCCACCATGCCAAGGACGATTCTTTTGGGGACAAAACCGTTAAACAAATCACCTTTATGAATGGATGGGTTGCCACTAGGGATGGTGTAGGTCTTGCAGTCCACCCGACGAATAGGATACTTTGCAGTCGTTCCTTTTTTCAGTTCAGTCACATGCAATAGTTGTAAGGAAGGGCTGACTTTTACTGCTCTGACTTTCAGTACTGCTCTTTGAATATCGATTTTGTAACTAGGGTTAGTTTCTCCAGACATTAGGGCAAAGGCGGATGGGTTAGGTATCAATTTAATGGTCACATTCACGTGATTCAGTAGAAGGCGTTCGCTGAATAAAACATCACAGTGTAAAGGACCCCACATGTCGCAAATGTAACTCTGCTCTGTAAACGTATAACGCGACTGGAGTCCTTGATTGCTCCCTCCATCTGTCGGATCTAGGCTATCCATGGAACCTGCAGTATCTTTGTAATAAAGGGATCCTGTGAGGGCAGACTGCTTCACTGCCGGACCATAGTTCAACAGCGTCTCCAGCATGCTTTTGTAACTGTAAGTACCCGTTGATTGAGTTACCAGTGTTCCATTGAGAAATACATCCACTTGTTTGAACAAACTCTGTAAGAAGAGGTTGACTGGGGCGACTTTTTCTTTACTAGTGAGGTTTGCACCGTCGGCTTTAGTGACTTTCAGACGAAGAGTTAACAAGGTTTTGGCTAAGTCTAAGTAGTTGTCTGTTCCTGAAATTTGGAATTCGATAGGCGCTGAAGGTGACAGGTTTGATATAGGTTGAAAATCAATCCAACTTCCTTTTTCCAGGACGACTTGAGTTGCTGGGACTGTAAACAGGTCAACTTCGCTTTTTGTGCAGGGAGTGGAGTGTGGATGAACAAAGGCCATAGTTTTCTTAATCAAATATGTCTTTTTGGAGATGAGCGACTTTAGACTTTTTAACTTTACCCTGAGATTGATGTGACTTGCGTTTTTTCTGTGGAGCAGTTTTTAGTGTTTTCACTCCGGTGGTTTGGGTTGAACTGAGACTTCTCTTAGGTTTCTTTCTTTTTAAAGTTGTTCTTCCACTTCCTCTCTGACCCATCAATTGGTTTAAGGCTTGCTCTTTCAAAGTTTGTGCTGACTGTCTAATACGTGAGCGCGTTGATTCTTTCAAATTTTTTCCCGCCAAAACGTCTTGGGCGACATTGGCACCCGTCCTGAGGGCAGCTCTCCCTATGGCTTTGGCTCCTTGTTTAAAAAAGGGGAGGGCCCTTCTGGCCAGTGAAGCGAAAAAAGAACCAAGACCATATCCTCTTTGCAGTGGGGCTCCATGAAAAACTAACATATTTCCGCCTCTCTGTGACATTAAAAGAAAGGGGAACGACGAGGTCTAAAGTTTAATGTTAACACCACGCGACCACGTTCAAATGGGATCTTTTCACCTGTGTCACTGGTTATAAGAACTTCCATAGTCTCAAACTCTTTTGTAGCCACGGKGACAAACTGTGGATTTTCATAATTAAGGGTAATYACATCGCCCTTTTTTCCTTGTGCCGGGACGATGCGGAGAAGTGAGGCTTGAACATCACCCACGATTTGAGGCTCGACAATGTTTAAGTAGATGAACAAAGACTGCATTCCCACGTTGATATCACTCACAAACGGTGCTTTYGTAGACTTGGAAAGAACAATGTATTTGCCAAACCCTAGAAGGACACCCAGTCGATTTTCGAAGCTGATTTTCTGTTTTTTCCCTAGAGTCACCGTCACTTTTTGATCCATTTGATCCATTTTAAGTGACACTCCTTTTATTCCCATTATGCTTATGGTTGTGTTCATGGCATTGATGATTTCAGAAATGCTGCTATAATATCCATGGTCGATGAATAAGACTGCGAAACCTCCACTTCCATCGTCACAGAAAAATCGACGTTCACTCTCTCCAATCGTGAACCATGTGTGGGGGTATGTGATGGAGGCCAATCCCACTTCCCAATTCCCATCTAAATTCATATGAGAAGGGAGTTGAACTTTGAATTCAGAAAGTGAATTACTAGGGAATGTATCCATCGAGGCATTGCTCGGAAGTGTGACATRAAATTGACCTAGCTCCATGGYGGGAAGGGAYGAAATGAATACAGAACAAGCGTGATGGAGTTTATATTCACTTTTTATTACACTTCGATATCACTCTTAGCAATCCAACTGTTATACTTATCAGGATATCCTAGCCATTTGACAAAATATTCTATTTTCCTTCCCCGCTTCCGTTTCTTCAAAATTGTTTCAATTTTATAAACCTCTTCTTCCCCTTTCGTCTGAACTCGTTGCAGCTCTTCTTCGTAAAACGTTCCCTCAAGTTCGTCTCCATCAAATTCTTTCAGCTTATAAACRGGTGGATTTCTGGGAATCCTTTTGKAGATGGTAAAAATCTCTTCACTCCAGTTGGGTAAATATCCCTTGTCAAACAATTTCTTGGACTTGGAAACGCGCACTTGATCCCCAATTTGGAATCTGTAACCCCGKTTTGGAGGTTGATTGCCATAAAGGGTCATCCAAGTTTGTTTTTCAGTCGATTTGTTGACGGACGTCGGYGATCGTCTGATGCTTCGATGATAGGAATGATTGTAAGAGTCGAGGAGTTCAGGGAGGATATCGATATATTTCRTGGTGCYTTTCCAAGTGAAATATCGATACATGCGCTGTTTCAAGGTCCGGTTGAATCGTTCCACAATGCTGGCTTTTGTGTCCATGTTGAAGGTATGGTAGAATCCAATCCCCTGCTTTTTCAAAAATGATCGAAACTCCCGATTGGTGAASTCACTACCGCGGTCGGTAYGAATTTTTTTCGGTTTTCTWCCAGAATCTTTCAAGATCKTTTTAAAGGCTTGAACRAGACTGGGGCCGGTTTTGTCCTTCAGAGGGATGACCCAGGCAAATTTGGACAGCACATCAATGCAGGTCACAACGTATCRAAAATTTTTGTTAAACTTTTTTAGRGAYTGGAGGTCAATCAAATCCAGTTCCCAAACATCGTCCATGGAGSCCACCATAACACGGTTTCTGCGAAAGCGCTTTTGCACGGGTCGATGCAAAGAGTACACTCGCTGTCCTTTCAACCATTCATTGACTTCTCTTCTCGTAATCTTTTTGTTCTTCTTTTTTGCAGCATGGAAAAGACCATCCACGCTTCCCAGACTTCCCTCTTGATTGAGGTTGTAATACAGTTTCTCGAGGAGTTTCTCCTTTTCCATCAAACTCAGAATTTTCAATCACCACTTGACCCCCACAACAGGCGAGAACACAGCGGATTCGTCGAAAAATATTCTGGAATTTCAAATTGGGCAGGGAACGGAAGCAACCCATCTCTTCTCTCATTGAGAGGGAACACACAACTAAGCGGTCCACGTTTTGACATTGCTTTTTATTCATTATAAACGRTTCAGATAGTATTATTCATGTAGGATTCAAATTCATCAAACATGTTCTGGTTCCAGGCTCGTTCATTTCGAAAAGCACTACACATCATATCCACACAGTTCACAAYACGTTTCTTTTYAGGATTACAAGAATAGACAAAGTCCCGCCAGAAGAAGAACATCGTCCGTGCTGAAACGTTTGGAAGTTGATGGATAAATGTCTCCCATTCCAACGTCGTGGGAAGGTCAACCAGTTTCAGAAGCTCCTCACAAAGATCGACGAGCGAGTCAAGATTGACCGTCACATCCTCATAACCATTTTCAACGGTCTCCTCTTCACTTTGCATGCAGCATACATGATCTCTTTGACTTGGCCAATGGTTTTCACATCCCTCGCATTTTAAGTTGTCCAACACTTCATGAATGCGTAAATTCCCATAAACTAAAGTGAGAACCAGTCGGACTTTGGCTTGTTTAGCTGTTTCGATTTCATCTGTGGAGATCACGGTGAGTATCCCGTCTTTGAGAGAAACATCTTGAATCATTTTCAAACTGAATTTGTTCCTGAATCGTCCACAAAGGTCCATCCAAATAGTCTCGAATCCAGCAATAAATAAGTGGAAGAACGAACAAAATCATGGATTGATTGAGAGGTGAAGAGCAACACTAAAACTAAAACCGCTATGAAACGTCATTATAAAATCTATAAAACCTCTTTGAACCTCACAAAACTTTGCGAAGCGATCAGCAACCTCCCTGCCGTCGAGACATCGTCTTGGTTCTAAGATCTTTGATTACAGGGTCCTCCGTTTTGGTTGTTTTGAACTCGGTGAGGCAAATCATGTAAACTGGGTGGTCCTTTTCATTTTTGCATACCATGCATTGTGGAACTGATGCGGCCCCAAAGTTGGTGAACGCGTCCATGCATAATAAATAATAAATAATCAAACACAAATTCAGTTTTGTCCCGATGTGTTTTTGTGCAACAACAACACCGTTTTTCTTCTTTTGACCATTCCATATCTGAAGAAACGCTTGACCGGTGTGGTTGAGAGCAAATGATAAAAAGGTCGACCCCCACCTCTAAATATTAGAATCGGAAAAAAACTAAGAATGAACCTCGGTTCTAACCTCTGAGATGAAGAGGTTGGAAAAATTAAAGACATGGTTTTGTGAAATAAAGTTTTTATTGTATATATTGAAACTACAAATATTCAAAAGATTTCGATAAATGATGTCACAACATGTGCAATAGTTTAATGAAAATTCAATTGATGTCTTTTTCCAATGTCCATCAATCTGCCTTTGCTGAGATGGAAGAGTAGGGTTTCAGTTTTTTAACTTTGTTAGTATTACATTTCTTGAACAGTTCACGTTTTGCACCGTCTTCCGACACCTCAGAGTTTCTTTCCACGATATCTTGAAGCCTGGGGATTAGACTTTGGAGCTGRGCGAATTCTTCTACGTTTAGAGCCACACCACATTTTGTAGGAATCAGCAAAGCCGTAATTCAGCACAGCCCTCGCACTCTTAAATATTGAAGGATTGCACCCATCGAGAACCTCAGAATAAACCTACCGACCCCTGCGAAACCTCTCAAAATAGGTTTTTGACACCTGCCGTTGCCCTCGCGGGCTCAGGAACGGGACCTCGCGGGCTCACGGGCGAAAACCTCCCAACCTCCCAAATTATGGGGCAGAACTCTCATTTGTATACTACTCCTGATACGTAGAACTTCTCCCAAAATCCTCATCGGTCCACATAGAACTTACTGGCAAGCCATCTATCGTTGCGGAGTAGCCACCAAAGACAATCTCACTGGATTTACAAATAACAGTGCATGAAGTAAAAAACTCATACATAATTAATGAGCTACTAGGCCAATAGAATGAGCCTACTTGGTCACTAATAAGGGTGCCCTTTATCAGATATAAAGGTCCATGACCCTAGCAAAGGTCTCAGGTTTGAAACCTGATCATTGACCAATGCATGATGTCAACCGATTTCAGCGAACAGCCAAGAGCGCTTCTATTTTACTTTATGCGTATTCAATGTGGGATGACAAGAGTGCTTTGTAACTAGTGATTCGCGCATGATCAGTTTGCCCCATGAACATATTTGAACGGCAATTTCTCCAAGAATTTTAACGGATATGAGTCTCAAATTAGTGTTGGAGTTTTTTAAGCTGTTTAAAACACTCGAGAAATGTATTTTACTTCGGTATGTAGAATTGTTTATAGAACGCTAATTACGTCCTCCCCCTGGGGACTTTGAGAGTATTTATGCGAAAGCGTCGTTCACGCCCTCCATTCACGCTTGTGGACCATCTACAGGATACATCGAGTATTCTTTCATCATGTCAGAATCGGAAAGCATCGACAGGGATGACCTTAGGATAAGGAGAGTTGTAACAAGGAGGAAGAGTAAGCCTACGAGTTCACCAAATTCAGTGAAAAATTCACCAGAATAGAACCTAACCCTGCTGAAAACATACTTGGCCGAGGATGAAATTGAACAGAAGTCG